AGAACATCTGGAGGCCCAACGTTGGGGACCACTGTATTAGGGGACTCAAGCTTGAGGTTGATGGAACCTTAGGGATTCCTTGAAGGTTTCTGGGAATTTCTGGGTGGTTCTGGCTAAACCTTGGGTCACCTTAGAGAATGCAGAAATGATGCAGGCAGTTAATGGAATTGCTACTCTGCCAAGTACACAGAACCTGATTTGTTCATAGTTTACCAGAGAGTGTGATGGGATGAGGCAGGATGACAGATAGTTAGGACACAGAAAATTTGCTGTGAACATGATGGAAGAGAGAGTGTTTTCTTGGAGGTGGTGATGGGAGCAAACAAACAGTGCTTCTCTTTCATCATGGCAATCTCAGAATATGATTGGGCAGCATTTTTTTTTCTTTTTGAATGATGTTGTTTTACCCACATTATTCCATCCAAGAGAATGGAAAGCTCACAGTAACATATTTGCAAAACAGTTTCTGAAGATAATATCATTCTTACCTGCCAAGAGTTCAGAGGATGGCCTTGGGTCCTTTTAAGGAGCAAGGAGGAGAGGTAAATATATTTTAAATAAATTAAATAAATAAATGACTGACTGACTGGTGGACAACTTTCAGAAGCTTAAGGACTATAGAGGCCTTACAGACCTCAGAGGGTTGCCTCTTTGTTCTGTGACAAATGGGTTTTTACCTTTAAATACTTTTTCTGCTTTCTAAGATTCTCAGGGACAGCTTCGCCATGTTCTGTCCCAGCCAACCTGTTTTGGAATGGTGGGGGGGTTTTCTTTAAAAGTGGAAGTGACATCCAGTTTTGAAAGAAGGTCTGTAATGGACCTCAAATAGGACCAAGAGGCAAACATGAGTGCAAGGAGCTGCAAAAAACTGGGGTATTACTGGGAACATATAAAGTCTCGAGTGCTGCATCTGGATCATTTGTTTCCTCTGTCCCCATTCCTGCTTTAGAATTTGCTACCAGTGCAGTTCAGGAAATATGTCCAGGGCATTGGCTGATCTAATTTTGTGGGATGATTTTCAATTGGTGTAGCCTAAGGACAGTGTGGTGTAGGGCAGTGGTTCCCAACCTTGGGCCTCCAGATGTTCTTGGACTTCAGCTCCCAGAAATCCCGGATGGGAGAGGTGGTGTTGAAGGCTCCTGGGAGTTGTAGTCCAAGAACATCTGGAGGCCCAAGGTTAGGGACCACTGGTGGAGGGGACAGAATGATGGGCTAGGGCTCAGGAAGCCTGGGTTTGATTCCTTGTTCAGCCATGGGAACTCACTTAGCCTTGGGAACTGATAAAGCCAATCGTTAAATATCTCATTTACCTTGAGGGTCGCTATAAGTTGGTTTTGATGTGGTCACATAAGAACAACAGCCCCAGGATACAAATAAGGTTCTGAAAAAGGTTCAGACAGCCTCTTATATGCTCAATCCTTGTTCTTCTTAGCTAATAAAAGTTTGCAAAAAAAGTTTTGACTGGTTGGGCCCAGAATATGTTTAGTGCTGTAACTGTCTCAGTTGCATTGAATGGAGACGTTGTGTGACTGGTTCTTAAGAAAAGGCTATGGGCTGTCAAGTTGTATCTGGTTTATGTGGTGACTCTAACAGGGTCTTCAAGCCATGTGAAATACTTAAGGAGTGGAATAACCTGTCTCAACCCCACAAAAGGTTTTCATAGGCAAAAAGGGGTTGAATCCAGGTTTCTTGAGCCTGAGTCCATTGCACTATCCCTTTAAGCCATGATGGCTTGTAAAAAGGCAAGTAGGCATGGCCAAACCTATGTAATGTTTCCTCCATGAAATTTCTCATCCTTTGCCTTCATAGTCTTTTTGGCCTGCTTTGCATCAGTTTGCAAATGTCGCAACATTCATAAACAGGAAGTCCACATACAAATGTAAATGTATTTTATGCTATTTTCTCATATTGATTTGTTTTCTCAGTGTGCATTTTTAGAAGACTCTTCCTGTAATATAAGGTGGTTTTGTGTGAATTTTCTCCAAGTTTATTCAATTTTGTGCATTCTTTCCCATCCAGTTTAATTTTGAGTTGCTAACTGGGTTTCAAAATTCTTAAAAGTGCAGAGTTTTCTTTGTTTTGTTTTTTTGATGCTAGTGTGTTACAGTTTGCTTACAATTTTGGCAGCTCCCAGTTTAGTAAGTTCTTACAAATATTCATCCCTGAGAAATGTATCCTACATGATTGCATGTAACCCTCTGCTTCCCCCGTGTGGGTAATTCACATGTGAGACTAAAGCAGAACACGATCCTTTGGTAGCTATGAGACTATAAGCATGTACTCTATTCTCCCAGTTCACTTTTCTCCAGGATCTTTTCCAGATAAAGTATTTTTTTTTCTCCTTTCATTTTTTGGGGATGCATTTTGAAAACAAATTATTGGTAAGAATTACTGTACTAAATTTGCCATTCTGGTTTCAGAATCCCAAGGTTCCAGAAACAAAAAGGGGAAATAAATCTTTAATATAGATGCATACTGATGTGATCAGTGGTGAGAATGCTGATTTTATTTAACCTGGGAAGAAATTCTGCTTACCATAAGCCATCATGAGGTGGTAGGCTTTTTTTTTGTGAGGCTTCTTGGGCTTGCAGGGAATTTGATCATGACCTTTTTTTATTGGTTTTTGCATATTTGTGTAAAATGCACAGCATTGAAAAATGTTAATTTTTTTTTTACTTTGCACTAAAAGTAGTAGATTGAATGGGTTGTTTACATCTCTGTGATCAATCAGTATGTCCTGTCATGCTTGTTGCATGTGCCAAGGTTCAAATGGGGAAAAGACACTCCTTTTGCACAGAGACAGGTGTTTTACACAATGTATATGTTGTGTGGATTGCAAAAACAGCAATGAGAAAAGCAACTATTTGGCATCTTGATCTTCTAATAGAGATGAGATCTTTTAAGGGGGTTGGACTGTAGTCTCATCTTGCTCAAATGGACATGACTAAAATCTCAACAAAGGCAAGGTATTGTCACATTGGTGAAATGCACAAGTATGAATACAAATGCTAGTGTTCTCGTTTTTTCCTTCCATCCCATAACACTGATATAAAACCCTGCATTTTACCATTTCTTTTACTTCTGGTATTCAGATGTGGGCTCTTTTGCCTAAATATGAACTGCTTAGTTAGTTAGTTAGTTAGTTAGTTAGTTAGTTAGTTAGTTAGTTAGTTAGTTAGTTAGGTAGGTAGGTAGGTAGGTAGGTAGGTAGGTAGGTAGGTAGGTAGGTAGGTAGGTAGGTAGGTAGGTAGGTAGGTAGGTAGGTAGGTAGGTAGGTAGGTAGGTAGGTAGGTAGGTAGGTAGGTAGGTAGGTAGGTAGGTAGGTAGGTAGGTAGGTAGGTAGGTAGGTAGGTAGGTAGGTAGGTAGGTAGGTAGGTAGGTAGGTAGGTAGGTAGGTAGGTAGGTAGGTAGGTAGGTAGGTAGGTAGGTAGGTAGGTAGGTAGGTAGGTAGGTAGGTAGGTAGGTAGGTAGGTAGGTAGGTAGGTAGGTAGGTAGGTAGGTAGGTAGGTAGGTAGGTAGGTAGGTAGGTAGGTAGGTAGGTAGGTAGGTAGGTAGGTAATGAGGGGGACACAAGTTGGCTCACAGTGTGAAAACAAATACAATTAAAAACACAATAAAATAATTAGACTATAATAATAATTAAAATACATAAAAACATTTAAAACTTTAATGGTGGAGTAGGCTTCATAAAGCCTCCCCACAATTTTAGAAAACTCTTCTGACTATGTGCAGCAGTCTGCTCATTGATTCTCTTGGACAGTATGGGCTTGATCTAGTTACCTCTGGGGCTTAGTACGAATTCTGGGGAGGATGCACAAGTGGGCCTTTGATCACCCTTTATTGTGTACTCCATAGTGTCCAGGACCTACTGGTTTGGTTACACAGATTGTGGCTTGCTCACATTTTGTCAATGGAATGAGGGCTAGGAAGTCTAGTGATTAGCATGCCCTGGGGAGGACCCAGAAACACCTTTTAGGTGAAACATTGCACCACCCTTACTGTAGATCGTTACAGCCAGTGGCTTTTGGGGGCCCTTATAGCTTGCCTCTTCCTAAAATTGTCCAGGAGGGATTGGAAATTTACAAGGGTCCTACAAATCAGCTTAGCCTTTTAACAAGCAGGGGATGCCGATTTTGGCCCTGGATGCCTTCTGAGCTAATACTTCCAGCCAAAATGCGGACATTCAATTTTGAGATACCTTAGCTTGCTATCAAATTGGTTGTAAAGATATGGTCCTATTTGACCTCAGACAATGGCCAAAATCCTCTTGTATAACTTATGCAGGCAGAAGAGAAATGAGATCACTGGCAGGGGCAGATTGCCACTAATCAAGGAGTCTTCAATTCCTCATTGCTTCAATGCCTCATTTCATGAGAGCCAATCATTATTGGCAATCGGCTACTGCCGTTGACATTATTTCCCCTGGTGTTAGCTATGGAAGAAGATCTGGGGCATCATTTCACTTGTTCGTTGCACATGGTATGCAGGGGCCATTTACACTTGTGTCCATTGCTGTAGTGGGTCTTTTTGAAGAGAAAGATTTTAAATAAACAAATGAACATCTATTTATTTTGTTTATTCTATTCATCTACCGCCCATCTGCACAAACAAACAACCTTCTCAAGTGTATCTTATCTGTGTGTGCTGGACAGGACCAGATCCAGGCTTGATAAGGCTGCTGACAAAGTGAACTTTGATGAATCACCTTTTACACTGATGATAAGCTCCAGGTTTACCTGACAGTGATGGCAATGTCAAAATCCAAGGAGAGCAGCCATTTTAATTTCCCACTGTGCTGGTTACTTGGTTGGCTTGTTTACTTTTGTAATGACAGCAAGGGCATACCATGGAATTAAATATGACCTGTGTTCTTGGAGTTCATCTGAAAGGAGATAAGGGCATTATCTTTTCAAATTTATCCCCTTTGGTAAAGAAAATTATGTGCCTTGGGGTTAACTTTCTGGCAAATAAACAAGGCCATAAATCCAACGTGTCAACAAGCAGGTTTATTTAGGATGTTCTTTTTTGTTTGCTAAAAGCTCCTTGCCAGGCTATTCTTCATAAAGCAGCTCATGTTCTGTGAAAAAGGTCAGCGGCAATGTGTTATCATCTTCGTATCAAATCCAATAAGAGTGTCACTTTCTGGAGCTTTTACATACACCCCACATCCCTCACTAATGATATGCCAGTATGGGTAGTCATACCAGACATAGGTTTCTTTAGATGAAGCAGCAATAGAAATGAGAGATGGTTTTTGTAATATGTGCTCTGTGTGGAAATGCAGAAACACCTCATGGGTGGAAGCAAAACAAGGCTTTCCAGGGAGCATTCTAGCAGGGAGGTCTTTTTTATTGGCAAATCTTGTGGAAAGCCTTGTGGGATTTCTTGGATGTTTCCTAGTCATTTTTTTAATGGAAAAAACACCGCTCCACACAAAATTATTACAATTTATGCACAAAATGGTACCTTTTCTCCACAAGATGCCTTGGAAAAGGCCTGGGACTGCACATAATTTTGTTGTTTCTAAGTTCTAACACAAAATAACAGGCACAAAATGAACAATCCTGGGGGAAAAGAGCAGGTGCCTCATTTTTTAATGAGAAGCCAGGGAATCTTACTGGTGTAGGAGCAGGTCTTAGCATGGCAAGACTTGAAAATCACAGAGAACGAGAAAATTTATTAATACTCTCTGTACCTCTGTTCCAAAATGCAGCAACTAGATTCCTAACTGGGGCTGGCCACAGGGATAATATAACCCCCTTGTTTCAAAAGCTCCATTGGCTGCTGATCTGTTTCCAGACACAATTCAAAGTGCTGGTACTAACCTATAAAGCCTTAGCTTGAGTTGGAGCTATTTCAAAGACTATGCCTCCCATTATGATCCTGCCCAGTCACACCACCTTCACAGGTGCATTTGTTGGGGAAACAGGGGAGGGTCTTCTTGGTCACTTTGGAACTCCCTCCCACAGGAGGCCAGACTGGCCCCACCTTTGCTGTCCTTCTGCAAGCTTTCCCTCAGTGACTGGCTGCCTGAGTGGGATTTTTAAATGGATTGTTATGCCTTACTGCTTTGAATGTGTTTTTAGTATTGCTTTTGTTTATCATTAGAGAGGTCCTGAGGGACTAGATAGGCGGGATATAAATAAAATAAAATAAATAAAATAAATCATTACTCAAAAAGTGGTATTTTCCCCCTTTTAATATTTCTGTACTTAGTGTTGTTAGCTTTAAATATTGCCTTTCAATGCTGTAAGCTGCCTCAGATCCTTTTTAAAGACAAAGGCTGGGTAAAAATATTGTAAACAAAATAAATAAATAAATAAATACACATTCCAACATACCTGGAGGACAACAAATTGAGGAAAGCTGATTCAGATTTTCAAATTACTATGTTAAAAAAAGGACTTGAAACTACAATCATGTCATATTAAGGGTCTGGGGTGTCAACAGCAATAGCTGTAATAGCAAATACCACAAAAAAGTATCACTAATACAGTGGTGCCTCTCTTAACGGGTGCCCCATTTAACGCTGAAATTGCATACCAATGAACATTTTGCGATCGCTTTTGTGATCACATTGCGATGTTTTAAATGGGGGGAAATCGCTCTGCGATGATCGGTACCCTGTTTCGCTTACCGATCATCGCAAAGCGATTTTTTAACAGCTGATCGGCGGTTCCAAAATGGCCGCCAGGTAAAAAAATGGCTGCCCGCTGTTTTCTGGGATGGATTCCTTGCTTACCGGGCAGCAAAAATGGCCGCCGTATGGAGGATTTTTGCTTAAAGGTGAGTCTGAAGCCCATAGGAAGGGGTTTCAATGCATTCCTATGGGCTTTTTAATATCACATAGCGACAAAATCGCTTTGCAGCAATTTTTGCTGCACCGATTATCATCGCTATGCGAGGCACCACTGTACATTTTATTTGGTGCAAGGTTTTCTGATTTGCAGCCCAGTTTGTTAGATAGACAGAGTGTAGCCTCATTAGGCAGGTGATTATGCATATCTCTATTCTGTTGAAATTTATTATACACATGCTTGGTGCTTGTCCACTGCACTTTAATCCACTCTGATCACCACTGACTATGACTCAAGGGCAGCAATGAAGGAAATAGAAAAGAATCAAGTGTAAGGATGTGTCACTGGAGAAGAAGACCAAGATCATTCATACTACTGTATTGTATTTATGAAAAATGAACATAAGAGTCCTAGATCAAATCAAACTTGGAGCAAAAAAAGTTGAAACTGAGGCTGTCCTACTTTGGGCACATCAGGATTCTCTGGAAAAGACAATAATGCTGGGAAAGGTTGAAAACAGCATCAAAAGGGGAAGACCAAATATGAGATGGATTGACTCCCTAAAGCAGGGGTCTCAAACATGCGGCCTGGGGGCCATTTGCGGCCC